AGTCCTCATCCACCAAGGTAAACTCCTCTAAAAGAAGGAAGTCCAAACAGTTCATTGCTCCGTACTTGGGTTTCACAAAAATCAGATTCAGCACTGCTAGTAAAATATCTTCATGGTGGCAGTCTCTCACTGCAGCCTGCAGAAGTGACTGCAGGTGGCCAAAGGGAGTTACTTGCACCTTTTTGACTTGAGAAGGTCACTCCTCCAGGTTGGCACTGAGGACAATAGATGAGTCTCACTGTTAGCTCTGCTATGGTCAGAAAGGGACCTGCAATTTTCAAAAGACATCCTGGTAGACTGTCATTCCTGCAGTCGCAGTCTGTCTGTGACTCTGTCTGGGCAAGGGAGAGTGTCATGGGTTAGACATGAGATTTGAGATTGTCCACCCATAAATCAGAACCAGTAATCTCCTTCATGAAAGCTCAGTGAAGCAAAGTTAAGTTTCGTGACATTGTGTACAATTCTAGGTACTAATTGTCATTTGAGGAACATAAATGTTGTTCATCTTTATTTTACAGATAGAGAGAAGGGTAGGTGGCTTCTGCTCTCATGTGGATCCTGAGTCAGGGCTGCTTCTTTCTCTTCTCCAAGTGACTCTGTGTGCAATTATAATGAGAAAACATAAGGGTCAGTACAATGAACACAATGTACTTTAATATGGAGTGCACAGAACGTTTGAAGAATCACTATGTGATGGTGATAATGCACTGCGACAATCAGGGCTGCTTTTTTTTCCTTTTTTTCAAGTCTAGGATGAATCCACTTTTTCATAGTTTGTTTAACGGAGACCAAGTTCCCTTTGGTACCTCTTCTCGCTACTCACTTTTACAGCATGTGGTCTTTGAAGTTTGAATCCCAACCCCTTTCTGGACAAGCAGTAAGTAAAAAGGCAGCCTTTAGGGTTAGGCAGCACAAGGTAAATTTTCAGCCCCATGAGCAGGAACTCAGTTACATGACTTGCATTACCATTAATGGGGGTCATGCTGGTGAATTCCTGTACACCACGTTGCACATTTACTCATGAGTGCAGAATTGTCACAGCTAATGAAACTTGCCTTTTGGGTAGCATGGTGTTTCAGGAGAAGAGTCTGACAGGCAGAAAGGACTGCTAAGTACCCAGATGAAAGTCTGGCTTTTAACTCCTTGAACGTATTTCCAGAAAATAATAGTGTGAATTAATGCTGGTTAGTGTTAGCTGTTCCTGCTGTTAGGGATCAGTCTTGCTCCAGTAGGATTGTATCACGGCAAAGATCATGCGTGAAATGTTAAGTGTGTGTGCTGTCATTCAGTGCTGGCAATTTGCTTTCTTGTGTATTTTCCAAGTACTAATTACTCTTACTTATTTTCTTTCAAACGTAGACCAGTCCTCTGCTGACACCAGCTTCCATAATCTCAAACACATTATTTTTTTATCATTTTTGTCCCTGCTACTTTCCCAAAGATGACCCCTCCTATGGCTGAGCATCACCTGGTCATTTCCAGCCTGCATTACTCATGGGCATCTTATCTCCATTTGTTCTTGTACTGTGTCCATTGCAGTGACAGCTTCTTCTAATTTCCAGAGCCCTTCCCCAGCCATTACTTTGCCAGGCTAAACATGCCAGGTCCATTTCTGGGTAAGGTTTCCCTTGCCCCGGCTGCTGTTCCGTGCATCTGCTCTAGTTGGAAGTTATTTTTAATAAATTAAATCAACATTGCCCACTAATATTCTATCCTGTTCATTTCCCTCATACCTGTCTTTGCAACGACCTACTGTTGTATTGGCTTTTTTACCTTTTAATCACACTATGGGTCATAATTGTTTCGTAGTCAATTAATAGTTATTTCTTTCTTATTTTTCATCATTTGTAGCTAATGGTCTCTGAGCCTGCAATAGGATTTCTTGTCATTAGATCCCAGGTTTCATGTTTTGTGATTAATTCTCTTTCTAGCACTCAACTGTTCAAGGTGATTCTTTTTTTAATGCATGATGCTCTAAATACCCTTTGCATCACTAGCAAACTGCATTTAGTATTAGTCAAAATATTAAATTAAAAAAATCATTTTCAAGATTCAGTTCTGAAGGAACCCCTAACTTAGGCTCCCTCTGTTCCAGTCTTTTATTTATTTCACATTATTTCAGTTTTAATGTATTCCCTA